TGCCAGCCACTCCCAGAAGGATTGGGTTCTACAGTAACAGTATTACTCCAAAGATTAATGGAGAGAGCAAGTTCTCTGTGCAGCATATGGTCATATATGTGATAATAAACTGCTTCATAAATCAAACCTCTCTGCTCAATATATAGGATGATTTTTGCTTTAAAAAAAAAATCAAAAAGAGAGGAGAAAAAAAAGTAGAAGTTGGGCAAATAAATCTCAAACTCTCCTGTTATTCCTGGATTTGGACTGTTGTACAGAGGAATTCTGCGTAAAATGTGGTACAGCTTATGTGTGTAGGAAATCTGTGCTCTTCAACCATATCATTTTTTATCTTGAAGTCAAGCCTTTTTGTGATATCCTGGTGAATATCGCAGAAATCTACCCCTAGTTGGATGAAAGAGTGAGGATAAAAAAATTGTATGTAAAACCGAATTTTAGTTTATTCAGAGGTATTCAATGAAGTTTCTAAGTGGCGATCTTTAAACAAAAAAAATGGTTCAGGTTCCAGTTTGGCCTAATTCTGTGACTAACAATGTAGAGGAACCCACAGACTTCTGCCCCAAGATAAGGGAAGAGGGATAGGGAAAAGGTAGGGAGATGAGCCTAAAAACAACAAGCTAAGGGAGAAAAATAGTTTACTAAATATAATAGCAGAATGCGATATAACACAATATAATTGGAATTGGGGCTACTAAATCAAGTAAGTGAGAGAGAGAGTGTCCAGAACCAAAGACCTTACTTCAGTGCTGAACGTGAGACAGCTCAGGAGCACACACTGCATACATGGAAAGTAAAAGAAGGGACAATCTCATGACTCCCGAGCTGTTTATCTTTCCCTCTAAACAGAAAATGAAAATGGAACAGTGAAGTCTTTGGGGATTTGTAGCTCCTCTGCTCTTCTGAAAACTATGTACCTGGAAATACTGGCAGTCCACAAAACTGAAGCATTAACTCTTTAACTCGCAGTGCACAACATGATACTATGATATGGAATACCACTAGCAAAAAAATCATAAAACCATTACACAATTCTATTAAGTACAGATCAAAATGAAAATAACATGGAGTTTTTCAGTTCTTTCCTCTCAAGTTTACCCTCCAGGCTTCTCATGAAAAAAAAAAAAAAAAGAGAAAGATAGGGAAGCAAAAAAATTATATTTGTGACTCCAAGGTTTGCCTCCACCACCACCAAAGACAAAAATGTTAAAATTGAATAAATTTTCATCTATTTTGAATGAAAAACTGTAAGTTCCTATGTTCAGTGTTAGAAAAGAAAGAAACGTAATTTCCATCGTTGTATTTTCACGGAAAATATTTGCAGAAGTATAATGCAATCGTACAGAAGTCATCAGGAGAACGGTTATTTTATTAGTATTAATGATAGAGAGACGATTATAAAATGGTGTTATATATTTCAAGATATTTTTTCTCTTCTGAATTGCATTTTTGGCAGTTAGAACAGGGAAAACTCCTGGCTCAGTATTTTTATATACAATTCTTTAAAGCAAAAGCTCTAGCCAGTGATTGTACACTATCTGTTATCTACCATCTGATACAGAACATATTGTAAGCACTTTTTACTAAGGCAAGGCTGAGTAGTTTGCAATATACTCTACTTTAAGGCTAACCTGCCACTGCTTCCTACAACCTTTTTCCTGATGTGTGAGATTTGAGTACAAAAGAAATTTCATTTATTCTTCAATTTATTTGTTTCTCTTGAGCACTGGGAATGGTAAGCTTTTCATCAGTAGTTTCAACTGTAATATTATGCTGTCACCATGAAAGCATTAGTTTAGGATTGAATTCTACGAGGCCATATTCAGATTTTTCCATCTTCTGCCAAGATCTGTTATCAGCCACTCCAAAAACTCAAAGGTTTCTTATGTCTAAAGGCCATGAAAAGCATCTATAGTCCATGAAAAGTTTCTTTTGGTTCATGCCAACCTTAAGAGTGTGGGAACATCAGTGTGAGCAAACAACAGAAGTTTATGGCAGAGGAGATGCACACTACCTTGTCTGCAAAGATATTTGCTACAAATGTAAAATGAGGTGAAGGTTTGATGATAGACAAGTGTGTTAAAACACATTGTTGCATCTGATAATTGCAAGAAAATAGAATTTATAGAGAACCAAACCTTCGCTCTAATTCTGGCTATTTTCCACAGAAGAAGAAGTTGTGGGTTTTTTCTTTATTGAAAATCTGCTTTTCTTGGAGAAATACAGTATTTAAAAATATTTTTTGTTGCTTTTTTTTTTTTTCAAATTCAGTTTTCTGTCAAAAAATGGCATCACACATTTGCTTGGAGGTTGGTGTCACAATTGGGATGAACTACGTGTTACTGAGGCTGAGTTCTTGGCCTTGGGTCATCAGTTCCTTCATCCAGTGATTAGTGCTTTTCACTTTAATTGTTGTTATGACCTTACTACTACACTTCGTTAAAAAATATGTAGGGAAGATTTTCCAGCAATCTCTGTCATGTTGCACTGAAGATTTTTTCCCCGGGAAATCCAGTCAGCCAGTAGCACCATGGATACAAGCTTTGACAAGGCTAGAAGTTGTTGCAATATTTTCTTTCTTTTTAGAGTTAACACAGTATTTTTGCTTTTTCCATAGCTATGTATCCTGGATATTCCTCTATCAATCAACTAGCAAGCTAGCACTTGTTTTACGATCTAAGCTAAGTAAGTCTTTTTATAAGGAAGAAAAAATTAAAAAATCAGAGTTGATTCCAGAATGGCATTATCAAATCTCCCACTCATTTTGATGTTATTAGATATCCAAAATATTTCTTATTTATTTCTTGCATAAGTTAACACAGCAGGCATTTGTTGGTGGCTTTAAAATAAATTCAAATAAGTCTCATTCTGTTATTTGTTTTGTCCCCTCCTTCTTCCTGTGTGGGGTTTGCCCTACTTTTTACAGGGATACAATAAGATGACTTCTCTGCAACACATGTTTACAATACGCTCAGTAAATAATGGATTTCCACTGTTTATTCAAAGTCAAAAAAGTTTGCAGACCTACCCACTTTGCATGGCTGGCGTCAGCCTCCCCACACAGAGAGTCTCCTAGCTTCCGGGAAGAAGCCCAAGGCATCCTCCTCTCTTGTAAAGTGTTTCTGCCAGAAGCATTTTAAGAAAGCTCAGTAAAGAGAAACGTGCAAAGCAAAGCATTTCAAAGGGAGGGGAAGATTGAATAGGGGGTGAAAACAGAGCCCTGCAGGAAAATACTTCAGTTTGTCTATTGATGCTAGATGATAAGGCACTCGGTGTCCAGTAAATGGCCACTCCCACACATAGAATTTATCTTGAGAAGTAGTAAACATTTATATGAAGTTAAAGCTGTACCTTTTAAAGTTCTGCTCTAGAGATTCTGTTCTGTTTGCCTTGTACCAAAGTATCGAAGAGATAATCTGCGTCAGATAAAGTTTACAGTATAAAAGATGCAAAGAAACAAAGGCTGGTTTTATTCCTTTGAGTTTATTTTCTTTCAAATTCTGGGAGAGAAACTGCTGCATAGGAGTAGCTAGTTTGGAAATGAGTGTTCACCTCTCTTTCTCAGATTTTGATGTGTTTTAAGTGCCTTCCATTTATCACTATGCACAAGTATTTGCAGTATTTTTTCTTAATGGAAGTGGCAGTTTGAGATACATTGGTCAGCAGGGAAAAAATTAGTTATCATTTCCACACCTGTTTTACAAAAACATTTGTATCTGAGGGCTGTTCTTCTACTTCTAAGAACTACAAGGACATGGCTGTAATGATACCAAGCATGGTTACCATGTAATTTCAAAAACTCTGGCTATAGAAGTGCAATTCATAGCCTTGTCTGTGGCAGCGCAGCAAGCAGGGAGTTTGCAGATGGAAAGATCAGATACACAACACCAGAGCTTGGGTAAGCAAATATCATCACTGCTACTTTTACAAAGTACTACTGGTTAAAGCACGCAATTTGGGAGGTAGAGGTCTGTGTGCAAGTCTTTTGAGGCAGAAGGGAACAGGATCAGCTTCTGCATCCTCAGAGATGATCCATGGCAAGACAATTTGGTGTCTCTCATTCAAGGCTAGGCACTGTCACGGCATGAGCCAGCTCACAAGGCTGGATAGACAGAACAAGCCAAAGAAGTGTAACTATCATGTAGAGATATTTTGAATGAGAGAGATCTCTACATTTATGGCTTTTATTCAATGGCATTTTAATGTAAAATATACTAATACGTTTGTAAGAGTTTAAGTATCAAGCAGATGTGAACATGCTCCCTTTCATACTTGGGTAAATTTCTCTCTAATGTCTTCCACAACCTTGGTCTCGGCTTTTCCTTCTTTTGTATATTGTTGGCAATATTATGGTGATCTCACACATTCTTCCAATGATATCCCACTTCTTAACACCAAAAAGAAGTATTACCTCCATGGAAAAAGAGGACCAATCATCTACATCCTATCTTTTAAACAACTTGGCAAGCAAGAAGGCACAAACAGTAATAGATTCATTGTGAGAAGCCGTACACAAAACACCTCATCAATCTGGCACCCCACTGCTGAAGGAATGGAAGTCCACATATCTGAATCATTTCCTAATCTCTTTTTTAACATTAACTTATACGAAACACATCTTCCTTTCACAAGATTCAGTTTACACAGTAATGCATGCACTGCCAATATCCTATAATCTCTTTGCAAAATGACCCTCTTTAATCATGCCATTTTCATCTCCCGCCACAGCCTTTAGCCCAGAAAAATGTTGCCTAAGCTTTTTCTCTGCAGCCAGCTACAGAGTCTCAAGGAAAGGAAAGCAATTTCTGGAGTGACAGAGACCCACACTATTCAATGTCATTGTATTACTAGATAGCATTTTAGGCCAACAGAAACTATTTAGAAATCAGTGAAGGTTAGTGCTGAATGTTGACTTAGTATGCTTTCTTTTCCTAAGGAAAACTACTGAAGTCAGATGAATTCCACACTAATTAGAGTTCCTGAATTGTTCCAACAAGTTTATTGCCACAGGAGCTCCCACAGCTTTCCTTGAAATAAGAGCATCACCAACAGCTGGAAAAGGAAAAGCAGGAAAACTGCTCCTAGGTGAGTCCAGGGGAGCAGGATGAATCACTGAGCCATGAGGCAGTGCTCACATGTCTCTCTGAAATAACCAGCACTCAGGCAATTTGGGAGCCCTTTCTTAATGCATATTTTACAGCATATTGTATCAGGGAGCTGTGAAGATCCCTTACAGAGCTTAACTGGGGGTTTTGCAGAAGACAGTTGAAAACCACCCCACACTCAGACACAGTCCAAGAAAGCCACAGATTGAGGAACAAGTAGCCAAGGAGATCCTAAAACTGATTATTAGAAGCAGACACAGGGCTGTCTTTTTCAGAAACATGACACTGCAAAAATATGTTAAATTCAGCTACATTTAAAGAATCAGATAAAAATAGGCCATATTTTCCAAATTATCTTTGAAGTGCTAAAAATTTTTTTGATTCCTTATTTAAATACGTTTTTGCTTTTCATTAAGTCAGTATATCTAAATGAATTGCTAAATCGAATTTCATAAATTTTACCTGATTATATCCTGCAACATTCAAGTATTACTGATGGGAAACACTATTATCTTAGCAAAAACTGCAGAACTACAGAAAAAATCCTTTCCTCCTCAGTGAACACTGAGAATTTAAGTGACATGGTAAGTTTCAGTGTGTTGAATTTTCATTATAGAATAAAAACAAATGCCAAGTGAGAGTGGATTCATATGAAATGAGAGCGCCATTCTGGACTGGCTCTTTAGTTTGCAATCATGAATGGCCCTTATACTGAGAATACATTGGGAGAAAAAAAGAAATGAGTGGTTAAAATAACAAGGTAGTGTCTTCCTATGAGCTAAACCTATGAGCTAAAGTGTGTTGGGGGTTGCAGCTGAATTAACTGTATTTGGAAAATGACCAAGTCAAGATATATTTCGGCAGGCTGCCTGGTGAATGATTGCGCTTGCGGAATTGCTGCCATCAGTGGAAAGTGCAAGACTGCTCTGGGGATGACCTGCAGGTCAAGGTAGGGAACTGGATGCTCTCTGTTCTGTTGTGAAAGCTCAGAGACCTCTTTCCAGCTCAGGTATTCTCAGAAACATTCCATATGCCAGCTCATATGTACTTTGACTCCTTAATCCTAAAACCAACAGCTCTTTATTATTGTCTATCAAAAAAAGAGTGTCTCACCTATGCACTCATTGATGTTGTTTACCACTCTTTTCCAAAACATTTCATACTTTAGATTTTGAAGGAAGAGGAAAAGAGACTTTTATCTCAGAGATACTACCTTGTTTGCTTCATCGGCAAACTAGAATAGTTCCTGAGCAGAGACAGAGAACACACTTGTCACATGTCTATCAAAATATCCTATCTATCCTATCTATTTCAATTCCCCTTCAGCTTGCATCTGTGATGAAGGTTTAATCAAGTTATCTTAATTCTGTCACTCACAGGCTACAGGTACACCATACCTCCTGGAATATCCTACCTGAAAAAAAAACCTATAAAGAATAAAAGAACCCTTTTATTATTTTTTCCATTTTCTTTTTTTTTTTCTTTTTCCCTTTTTTTTTTTTTTTTTTCTCATTTCTTTTCTTTCCCTTTTCTCTCTCCCCCTTTTTTTTTCTTTTTTTCTCTCCTCTGCTCTTCTCTCCCCTCTACAAGTGATTATTTACTCCTTATTTTCTTAATCATAAACCAAGACATTTTGGCCCGGATGCTTAACATGACTTTAATTACGAATAGTTGGACTCTTTCTTCCTGCGGCACATAAAAATTTTCTCAAGTAGTCTTGCTGCTGCGGTAGCAGAAGTCTCCTAGAAAAACCCAGACAGTGCTGAATCACATACACAATCACAGAATGCTGAGATAGGCAGAGCCTTCTGGGTCCCTCTCACTTACTCCCTGCCCAAGCAGGGACACGCAGAGCAGGGTGCCCAGGACAAAATCCACGCAGTTTTTAAAGTTCTTCAAGAAGGAGATTCCACAGCCTCTGTGGGTAATCTGTGCCAGTGATCCATCACCTGAATAGGCAGGTGTAGTTCCCCCATCCCCTGGACTTATTTCTCTGTAAATATTCACAGGGAAAATCTTTTTCTACCTAACAAATTTCTTATCTTCAGAGCTGGATGTGGAGAAGGAATCTTATAGTTCATAAACAAGATCATAAGAGAACAACATGTCTTGATACCACTTCTACTGAGGCTGCAAAACATGGGTTACTGAAAGTACCACACTGCAGCTTGTGTCCATGAGGCTCAGGAGAATGAGAGAAGAACGTACACCTGGGATTTTCGCAACATCTTGAAATTAACTGAAAGATCCAGTGTTTGCCAGAGAGAAAGGGCTGTAAGTAAACCAAAAACTATGGTGGGAGGAAGGAGGTTGAGAGATTGCTGAAGGACTTCAGACATTGGTCTGTAGTTTTCCTTTCTGGGTTACAGTGGTGTCACGTATGCTATGTAGGCCTGTGCTGCTCTGAATGTGGCCACAGTAGGGTGATGCTCAGAATATTCCAAGGACAGCCTTGCGCAGTGACTCCCCAAGGAGTTTTCCAAGGAACCCACAAGATGAACATATCCCCCAAGGTCTGTGGAAGTCCTGCCAGTGAGAAACTCGGACAGGCAGAGGGTGTCATAAACATTAGGTATATACAACTACAAATGACCTTCTGATCTCCTTGCCCTATTCTTTTAACATTACATGTGTTTCCGTCCTCTCATTTCTGTAGTCCTAACTCATTTCTCTGCATTCTGTTTTTCAGATACTGTGCAGAAAGCAACTCAGAAGCAGCTACAGAAGGTTGTATTAAAACAAGAGGCAAACCTTCCCCAGAGCGGGTGAAGAGCCCTGGCATTTCAGGCACTCTTAGCCCTGCCCAATTACTGTTTCTTACATAAGTGAGATGACACCTGCTTATGTGACACCTTTTCCTCACCATGGAGTTTGCCTGGGCTGTGTCTGGCTGGCTATGGTGTGTAGTAGGGTGCAGGAGACCTGAGATTGCAAGTGGCCTTCCAGAAAGGCTCTTGCTCAATGCTGTTCCTGGCTGTGCTTCCTGGCTACATAAGCTGGCAAGACGGTCTCAGAAAAACCACCAATCCCCAGGCACTGTCTCAGTTCAAAGCCAGCATAGGACATGTGTCAGAGCACGGGGAAATAGCACTGGAACCCCAGCAGTTCTTGGGGATTTTCACTTGACTTGTAGGAATGCAAAGTAACATTTGGAAAATGCAGTCAGGGTGCCAGGTCAGGTCTCTTGTATCCCTTTAGTATTTATAACAGTAATGTGAACTGTCATGGGGCTCATTTGTATATGACTTTCAGAAGACAGCTTGCAGCTCAGCTCTGCCGTAGAGTCTGCGGTTTTATAAGACATTATTCTAAAGATCTTTCTCCTCTCTCTCAACATGAGGCAAACCATTATGAAACAGGTGACTTCTATGCAGAGAACCACAAACACTGCATTTAGAGCCAGTGCTGTGAAGCAATTGGATCTGTTTTTTCTGTCATTACCTTAATAGGTATGATTTCATTTCTCATTTTTGGGGACAGGAAAGGAGAAGAAGGAAGGGAGAAAATGAGTTGCCTCGGTAATTTACCTCCCCTGACAAAGCTAGAAGTGTCTGGCTATTTCTCAGCAAATGAAAAAAAAGAAATGAGGTAAAGACTTCATCATTTCAGCTGTCTAGCACAACCACTTGCATCTTTCTGTAAATAAAAATGGAAAAACAAGCTCTGGTCCAAGCGGAACAGTAAGCCCAGAGGCAATCTTGTTTATGCAGGCTGTTTGAAGTATGCATTTGAGACTGCACCCAGCAGCCCCTCTGCAAGGGGTGAGTGCCCAGTCCTGCCCTCTCCCTAAAGCAACAGCGAGAGACCAAAGGACAGATATTTTGCTTTCTATAATCATAGGTATATAAATACAGGATCACATGGAAAGGAAGCACCTCTGCAGGTGGAGATTAAGTGATAAGTATGGGGGAAAGAATATCAATCTAATATGCAACCCATGGAATACAAATGGAGTTCATCAGTGCTCCAGCTGCATACCTACTGGTGCTTGTTTGTGGAGTGCTGGCACAGCATTAGCTGTCCCTGCACGTCCCATCCAATACATGTTTTCAGCACTGACAACTGACAGCCTGCAATCCTTGGTGTTTCTAAACAACCACTTACAGCTTCACTTACTCTTTAATGAATGTTCATCTTCCACATCAGGGCATTTCTTTTGTTACTCACCCACAGCCTCATTTCAGTGCTTCTTTCTATGCTCTATCTGTCTTGTTCTGGAGAAGTGTCATGGTTAACAAACTACAGCATGTCTACTGCAAGTCAGAATTATATTATTAGGTTATGGTAGGCAGTGATGATTTTCATGTAGAAAGAGACAGCATATAACTCATACTATATAAATACATCCAATTTTAAATCCATTGACAGCAATAAAAAAATCAGCCTATATATTGAGAACATTTTGAGTTAAATTTGAGGCTGATATTATGTACGTAGTAATAAAAGATACTAGATGCTTTGTTTGCTTACTGAATCCTTTGCAAAGCGGCTAGCCACAGCATCTACTGGTAAGTATTGGAAATGTTGTTTCCCACCACCTTTCATTTTCCCAAAGAGGATAAAGAAAACTATGTAGTCAAGGCTCACATATCTTGCTGAACAGAAGTGAAGGACAGCAAGGAGACACTATAAAATTTAGTTTAGATGCATGAAATGTGATCCAAACATTGAAGATATGATGCAGGCACATACAAGCTCATACCCTTTGCACCAGATCCATAACCAGACATGTCAGATCTTTCACTACGCAGAAAACAAGGTGAAAAGTTGTTTCAGCCAAGTGTTGGAACAGACCATACTCTGACTAATGAGTCCTATTAGACTGGGGTGCATAATGCATAGAATTTACTGAATTGGATCTCTTTAGTACACTGAATTTCAGAGTATAAGTAAGTCCTGAGCAGACTGAACTAACAAGTATTGTGTCAAGGATACATTCAAGCTTCTAATGTTTGTCTATACAGCATCACTGGTTAATATCTAATCCAATGTTTTTGCAAAAAAGCAGTATTTCAGAATGTCCTTTTTTCTTTCTTTTCTTTCTTTCTTTTTTTTTTTTAAATAAGCAACACACTAAAAAAAAATTTAAAAAAGCATACAAATGTGTCTGGATCTTGTCATTTCAGTATATATATGCTTGCAATTTTTGTGAAGTAAATCTGCATGTCTGCTACTCGACACTCATACCACTATGGCTTGGAGCAGAACTTGTCTCTAAATTAGACTGGAGCTCTTTAGGGTATGGTTGTGTTGTAACTAGTTCTGCTGACTTTAGAGTTGGTCTTATGCTTCATTATTCCTAAAGGGTTCCTCAGAAGTTTTCAGCTCAGTTTTCATTTAAGAGAAAGCCAGGAGGTTTCAGGCTGAAAAGTTCAAAATATGTGAATTCTCAAGTGAAACACACACATACACACATCACCATCAACAACAACAACAACAAAAACAACCCACAACTATTCAGCATGGCTATCCTCTACTATCATGTGATTTTAGCTCATATAACTTGGTGGGCTCTGTGGCTGAGGTTTCAGTTCTTAGTTTGACACTGGTGTGTTCTGTATTTCTCTTTGCCCAGCGTTAACCATATATTCAGTTGTAGTAATAAGCCAGAAAAAAAATCACAGCAGCAGCTACGAACACAAAAGCATAACAACCTTTCTCCTTAACAGCGTTCTTCTATCACAGCACACCTGAATGACAGATGTTATTACAGGAAGCTTATGTAATGATCTGTAATGGAGCAAGGTGGTGAAAGACCAGTCCTGTGATGTACAGAGAGAGTAGGCTTGTAACAAATTGCTTCCTAGAAAAGCAGCTAGTCAAAGGGCAGGGTTTATCTCAGAAAAACTGTCATCCTCCTTCTCAGCCATAGACAAGGCATGCCAGGCTAAAAAGTAGAAATGAAAAGAGCCGTTTGTCCATTGCTTCTCAAAATGGTCCTCACTGGTGAAGTTTGTGATATGCTGATAACAGCTGCAGTGAAGTCCTGCCATACTGTTATACCTCTTTTTCTGGATTCAAGCAACGCAGCAGTTTTATGTGTGCTTGAGCGGACAATGTTCTTGATGACTAAATTTGTCATTTGAAAGAAAAGAATGAACAGTGTCTTTAGAGATCTCCCAAGGATTTTATTATTCTTCTGCAGAATGTCGTTTCTGGCCAAGGGCTGAGATTCCAGGATATGCTCATTAATAGTGAAAATTTGCATTCAGTTATTATGGCTACATTTTTTCCTATAATGAGCCAAACCCAAATACTTTTGGAAAATTTGAATCTAAATCTGCACATTCCATTTTTTTTTCTCCTCTTTAGTTGGTTTTCTTTCTAACCACTGAAGAGTTTGGGTGTTTTTTTGTTTCTTTTCTTGCTTTAAAATGCAGAAGCCATGTACAAATTTACTGTTCCTAGATGCTTCTTAAAAGCTCTAAATGGCAGAAACTTTTACAATACCAAATGGCCCATAAACGAAACTAGAAGACAGGTGTCTCGCCTGCATTACTTTACTATTATGCTAGTGCACGCCTGTTTGTGCTGTAGATTCTACACAGTAGAAATCTGAAGCAGTATAGTGGGTGAATCAGGGCCAGTAGTTTGATTCATTTGCAAATATCATAGAATCATAGAATGGCCTGGGATGAAAAGGACCACAATGATCATCGAGTTTCAACCCCCTGCTGTGTGCAGGGCTGCCGACCCTTAGACCAGACTGTCCAAAGCCACATCCAGCCTGGCCTTGAATGCCTCCAGGGATGGGGTATCCACAACCTCCATGGGCAACCTGTTCCAGTGCATCACCACCCTCGGGGTGAAAAACTTCCTCCTAAAAAATAACTTCCTCCTAAAAATATGAAATCCTTAGTAATTATTGTGCAAGTTCCTGCTGTGTTTATGAAGGAAAACATTTTCCATGCGCCATTCAATATGATATCCCTGCACCAAACAAAAGGCTGTTGATTTCAATAGACACAATCTCTGAAATACCAAGCCTCTAGACAAAAAGCAAGGGCTAAATGCAATTAATGTCATTTCCTTCTTGAAAATATATTTTCTTAGGCACACATGTCTTCTTCATATACACAAAATAAATTCCAATATCTTACTAGTAACGGAGAATGTTGCAATTTTACCTG